AACCCTAGATCCTAAACCCTCCATCCGGCTGAGGCTCCCGGCCGGCAGCATGACGCCATGCCGAGGAGTCTCCGCACGCAGTCACTGCAGCAGTGAACGACACAACCTTTAGGCTTTGGGGACTGGGGGTTTGGGGTTTAGGGTTGAAGGTTTAGGGGTTTTGTTTAGGGGTTTGGGGTTTAGGGTTTGGGGACTGGGTTTAGGCTATAGGTTCCGGGGTAGGGGTGAGGACTCATAGGGCATAAGAGTTGGGTTTAGGATTTACGCATGGATTAGGATTTAGGGCTTAGACCTCAGGGTCTAGAGTCTAGGGTCGGCTTGAATTGCACTTTTTCAAGGTTCTTGGTCTTTGATCCCCTAAACCCTAAACTCCTAAACCGCGTATACGCAGGGCTTGTCAAATCCCAAAGGACGAACACCTGAACTTCTTGTTAGGGATCAGGGTACTGTAGGGGCCTGAGAAACCTAGAGGAGGGCCCAGTAACCCCATAGGAACGCGCGTGCTTGAAGAGAGGTCCTCGCCAGCTGAGGAATTGATAGTAGTTCGTACTTGCTAAACCGGCTCATCAGATCCTTCGGATGCCCTAAACCCCAAACCCTAAACCTAATATGCTACAGTTGTTTCCCTTTTCTTCTCCATTATCCCTTTTTCATCCCTATATGACCCCTATATAATTATAACCCTATATGACCCATATATAACCCCGGTATGCGGGTGATCTTGCTTTGCAGCAACGCCGCATGCAATCACCTGCGTTGCAGGCGCCATGACGCTGGGGCATTCAGCTGCGCAAGCTTCCCAATTTCAGCACCGGTTGCTCTTGGAAAGGGCCTATACGGCTAGGCGAAGCCGCTTGACATCCGGTGCTGAGTGTCTGGCTCAACGACAGGAAATGTTCAAATGTCAGACCGACTGCACATGGCAGGTGCAGCGGGTGCGCTAAGGTGCCAGAGTCTTGCCGGCAGAGTTCTGTGTAGTCCTCCCCTGCTTTGGTCAACAAAGACTTGGCGTCACCAGTGAAGCAGCCCACTTGTTGAATGGGAAGTTCCAGTTCCTCCCCCGGGACCAATATAGAGGCGTATTAGAACGAGTTCTAAGAGTTTGAACATGGAAGCAACATTCAACAAGTGGCGCCCCAACGGTAAAATATCTTAAGCCAAATGTTCGAAATAGTTTAACCATATTTAAAAGACAGCTGCTTCCAGAACATGTTCAAACATGTTTGAGCATTGGCCGTGCTTGTTTAAACAAACCGTGTTTAAACAGGGCTTAAACAACAATATGTTTTATCATACTTTTGTTCAATCGGTTTAAACTTTAAACGGTTTAGCCCGGCCCTGGCTAGGGGGGTCTAGGGTTTAGGTTTTAGGGTGCAGTCCAGGGTTTAGGGGGGGCTTGAGGGGGTGTAGGGTTTAGCGGTCCAGGGTTTAGGCGGGGTTTAGTGTTCAGGGCGTAGGGTTTGCCCTCAGGCTCTGGTCCAAGAGCCTCAAGGTAGCATGTAGGGTATGGGATTTAGGGCTTCGGGCTTTGGACTCGATATTTGGTTCCCAGAAAATACGTAGAACAAGAGCCGGTTTGGCTCTTCTTTACGGTTGTTGGTCCTTTAAGTAGTTTACCTATTTTGAGGGCCAGAGTTTATGACCTGAGGTGGAACGACGGTTGAAGATTTCCATCGGTAAGTTCTACCTTGACCCCAAGTATGTCGAAGTATGGCCTGTTGTGCTGCATTTAGGTGTTCTGGGCAATTGTCTTACCTAGTTTTGGGGGGTTCAGGACCCTTCACCCTAAAACCCCAAACCCTAAACCCCAGACCCTAAACCCTAAACCGCGTGGTTGTAAGTATGCGACGTCGGTGCTAGCAGGGGCTGGCTCTGGGTCCCAAAATGTCTGTCAATCAAGGTTGCAGGCGGCCAACCAGAACCCTTCAAACATCTCAAACCTCAAGAATAAGCACTACACAAACCCAGCTTCTATCTAATATTTGATTTTCTTTTTCGTTCTCCATTTTGATTCTAAAGGGGAGCAATGCTGGACTCTAAGCCTTGTTTTCCGTCACCAAAACCCCAAACCCTTAACCGTAAACATCAAGCCCTAAGACCTGCTCCCTAGACCTTGAACGCTACCCCCTGAACGCTGAACCGAAAACCAGGTGGTCCCCTGTGTTACTTGGTGGGATACTTTCTGCAACATGCTCAACCCCTTCACCGAGAAAACCCCTAAACCCTTGTTTTAGGGTTTAGGGTTCAGGGATTGGTGTCTGCCAAGGTTTACGAATATTTAAGCCTACTCCCCTCATCCTGATCAGTAAGCCGGACACCAAAATCCTTGCTTGAAAGCCTGCTGGTACTGGTACTATTGTCATTATTAATTGCTGGTGTTCGGGATGTCTAGCCCGACCCAAACGCCAAACTCCTCTTTAGACCGTACCACCCAAAGCCGATAGGCACTACCCATGGCCAAGAAACATCACAATTTCCGGCCATAGTTGCAAGTGCAACTAAGGACCTGAACGAGGCTTTCGGGTTTTGGGTTGCAATCTTAGGGTTCAGTGTTCCGGGGTTGAGGCTTGGCTTTTGAGGGCTTCGCGGTTCCCACGACCCGCCTAGCACCCTTAGATGGGGTCTATGTAGGTCCTATCTGTGGGTATTTGGGCTCCATGGAGGGTACTTGGGTGGTGTAAGCAGGGTTAAGAATTTGGGCTCCACTTGGAGGCTCATGAGACCTAGTAACTACTTATAACTGGGCTTATAACCCCACTTATAATCCCCCTGCATAGCCTTATAGGGGTTACCCCCATTAATTATAAGGAGGGTTATCATGCCAGTTATAAGTAATTACTGAATCCCATGGGCCTCCAAGTAGAGTGTGAAATGTTTGACGGCTTGTGTCGGGGTTAGTTTCGGGTTGCTTTGAGTAAGTATTACCTGAACCCCCAGAGTAGGTAAACAAATAGCCCAAAACACCTAAAAATAGCACAACAAGGCAATTATTCTACATACTTTTGGGTTCAGGTAGTAATTAGGCATTGTGTTACTTTATGGCTATGTTCAAAAAGGAGTACAGCATTGGCCGAAGCTCAAACAAGGCACGCCGTGTCATGAGCCAACTCCGCATTTGCAAGACTCGCCAATCTCCAGTTTGTCACAGACAAACCAAGCCACTCCACAACAACTCTGTCGATTCCTTTCGAACGCATGCCAGTCCTACGTTGGCTGTGTCTTGCTTGATCGGAATGTCTGCTCAATTTAGTCTTGAATCTTTTTCACCCCAAACCCTGAAAAAACCCTCATTGTCATACCCTTCTACTCTTACGCCGAGATCGTACGTCACATGAAGGCCCGCCCGTCTCGGTGCCCTTCAAGGGTAGCTTGCAAGTCCCGGAACGAAGCCTTAAACATCCAAAGTCTAAACCGTACGTGCATCCTTAAGCTGCAGGGTACCTGACTGCATAGCTAATATCTTGTATACAAAATTGCGTGCCCTACAAAAAGCTTAGGGTAAAAGGATCTATGTTCACCTCCTAAGTACCCAAAATGATACCTTGTGTTACAACTGCATACCCACTATTCGGGGTTAAAGGTTGTCTTGTTCATGGGCATTTGGGACGTCTAGGTTACAGCTTTGGATCTACGGTTCAGGCTCAAACAATTAAAGCCTAAGCCCTAAACCCTGAGCCCCAACCCGTATAAACCCTCAACAAAGGGTTTCAGGTACATGCTACTTTTGATGATGTTGAAACAACTGCATGACTTTAGTAAACTGTACTACCAGCATCCGCGAGGTTGAAACTCAGGGCCATGGAGCAATTTTAATGTATAGTCGCCCTTGAGTAGATAGAGTATAGGGTCCAGGGTTTGGGGTTGAGGGTTTAGGGTATAGTGCCCCTTAAGTAGATAGAATATGGGGTTCAGGGATTAGGGTTGAGGGTTTAGGGTATAGTCCCCCCTGAGTAGATAGAATATGGGGTTTAGGGTTTAGGGTTTGGTTTAGGGTATAGTCCCCATAAAGTAGATAGAATATGGGGTTTAGGGTTTAGGGTTGAGGGTTTAGGGTATAGTCCCCCTTAAGTAGATAGAATACGGCTTTGGGTCTACTATTATAAAAAGATCCCCACATACCCCATATTCTGTCTATTCAGGGGGGACTCTTCACTAGCTTTTTCCTAACAGTCAGGCACGGCAAGACTCCCAACGGTGCACCCTCCCTGTATGAGCCCTGAAAGCAGTCCAAAAGGCCAGTATTATACAGATGTAGCAGAAACAGTCCGAAAGGCTATTACTCAGCATATATTCCCCAACAAGCCTAAAACAGCTTCCGGACAAGACTCAAACAGGAGGACCCCAGTAGACCCCACCAAACTATGGTCCTTATTAATGATAGCGAGCCCCGCCAAAAACACCTTTAATTTGTTGGAAGCCCCAAGCCCTAATCCCTAAAGCATATATGTCCCTAAATGGTTTGTCTTATGTATCTCAAAATCGCATTATGTATCCCTCTATTCCCCTTATACCCCCTTGCAAAGGGACCGTAATGTTGGGAGATTCCTATCTCTCCCTGATCTTGACAAAATCAATTTTGAATAGCTAAGATAATCTTCAATGAAGCCTGAGGGTTCGTGGTTTACGCTTTAAGGCATCAACTCTCCACCTAGCCTCTGTTAGGGCCTAGTACCCACTATTAGGGGCCGAAAAACCCCAATTAAGGGTAGTAGGAAGGTCTTGGCCCCAAAAACCCAAAACCCTGAGTCCTAAGCATGCTATTGCTGGGGGCAGGGTTCCTCCACTAATTGGGTTTCCCAGAACTCGGTATGAATTTAGGGTTATTCGCACTAATTAAGGGGGAACCTCTGGGGGTAGTACGGGGCAGGAAGGGGAAGTGACGTAGTAGGATGTCCCGAGGATAACATGGAATCCTAGATCCCCCCAAGCCTCTGCCATTGAACGCAGTTCTGGCAAGCCTGGGCACAAAAGGCTAAAAGGGTTAAGGGTTTAGGGTTTGTGCGTTCTACGTGAATCGAATACATTTATATGTTCGCATGACATACTGTACCCGAACTTAAAATGAACGTATGAGCCATAGCCTAAACTCCGAGTATCCCCTTAACAACCCCTATAGTAATCCTGTAACCCCCTATATGACCCCCCTTTGAGAAATTCAAACTATAACCCATATCATGTTACTTCATACTGGGGGCTGTAACAATGCAATTGGCTAGCGACTCCCTCAACCCCAAACCCTAAACTCTAAGCCCTATATTGGCTAAATACGGCGGTCCCTCAAACATAAACCTTCTCGTAAGAGTACATAGAATAATACTGGGATAGATGTAGGGGCCCTATAGCCTGAACTTAACACTTCTTAACATGAGCTATAGTCTACACTCCTAGTATCCCCTTAATGAGCCCTAAAAGAATCCCCTACATAATCCCCTCTATAACCCTCTTTAATGAGTTTAGACTATAGCCCATACAGGGACCTAAACCCTGAACCCTAAGGAGTTTAGATTATAGTACACATGGTGACTGAGCAGCACCGAGGAAAGCATTGAAGGCGATGATGTTCAACTGCAGAAGTCTCTGCTGCGCTGCACGTAGCAAAGACCTTTGCTCTATTAGGGTTTAGGGTTTAGGAGGGGCTCTGGGCGTACTGTGGACACTACAGAACTACCTAATAAGCTATATGCTACAGGTTGTGCATGGAATGGGATTAATACGTGGTGGTTCATGAGAATAGTAAGTACTTATGGTGGGGCTATAACAGTACATAGACTCCACCTAACTGGCCTTACATAGGTTACCCATGTTTTTCAAGCAGGGTTAGAACTCCAGTTATAGGTGGCCACTAAGTCCCATGAGCCTTCAAGTAGCGATACTACTAATGGGTTAGGGAACCTACTTATCATGGGCTACAATAGGTTTATCATGGGCTTACCAGGGGTAAATGTATAGATAGATAGATAGATAGATAGGTAGATAGATAGATAGAGCATATTACTTAGCTCCAGGGTCTGTCCAAGTAGGGGTCCTTTTCCACAGCCGCTCCAATGAACCCTAAACCTTACGCAGCGCTGTTCTGGCTTTGGACTTCCACAGCTTGCATCGTGGAGACTCAGGGGTTGCTATTGAGGTGGTTTCGGGTTGAGGGTTTAGGCTGTAGGGTTCAGGGTTTAGGGTTCCAAAAAATTGGGTACTTTGGATTTTGTAAGTCGTCATTTTAGTAGGGGTTGCGGTTGGGGGAAGTATGTGATTATTGCATACTTGGACCCCTTGGGTTAGGGGAGTACTTGCGACAGGACGCCAAAGGGCTACTATAGGGCTATTGCGTTGAGATGATATTTCAATTCTATCAAGGTAAGATTGTAGATCACGTAACGCCAGGGTTCCTCAAAAGCTTTAAGGAGAAAAGCGGCTCAGGAGTCAATCTCTACAGACACCTACATGAGGAGACTGGGATTATGGGGATATGATTTGGATGGAGGAAATCCCGAGACTTGAAATTCCTTAAGACCTACGCACTGTAAAGTAGCTAAAGAACTCCAAGCGGTTCAAGATGCCTCCATCAGCAAATTTACACGCTTCTACTCCAGGATGTCAAGTTTCTGCCCTTTTAGGTTTGCATGCACCCTTGGGGATTGGGTGTCAAGAGCCTAATGAACGTCTAAATACAATGGCTTGCGGGGTACAAGCCCAATGTTCAAAACCTAGCGTTACAAGGCACACTGCGTGACCTATACCTATATCTCCATTACTTTTCTATCTCTACCTTGTAAAGGCTCTGTATGCTGCTAGTGAAGGCCCCGACCAGTTTAACCCTAAACCGTGAACCCCAAACTTCAGGGTCCGAAAGCCCTTCAGGTATGAACATATCTGGAGGTCTAAAGCCCGCTATGGGGCACGTGCAGCCCATAACCCAAAGCCCTGAAACCCAAACCTTAACCTTATGTATCCCTCTCACCGGCTTCTCAGAGGGTCTGGGGCTGCGCTGGACGCCTCCAACCCGAAGTCCTAAAGCCCTTGTTAAGGCTTAAAGGATTTAAGGATAGGACTTGATTCTTGGGGTTCCTTGTTTGAGATTCCATTACATGCCCAGCCAACCAACCGCAAACACCGGCATCGAATCGGATCGAAGATCGAATCGATCGAATCGAACTTGCCCGTTACCGTGGCCCTCCTCCCTCCAGCTCCGGTGGGAAGCGGGAAGGTGGGAGGGTGGGAGGTGGGAAATCGGAGGATCGCCGTAGATCGCTGTAAATCGAATCGGTAGATCGATGTCGATCGAATCGATTCGGTCATGGCATGCATTAGAGTCCTTTCATGAAGGCAGGCGGAGAGTCTAGGTAAAGGGTTTAGGGACTGGCAATTCCGGTGCTGAGATCCTAACCTAACTAAACATCTGCGTGCTTCACAGACTACAGATGGGCCCAGAAAATTGGCCTCCAAAAACTTGAGCTTTGCGGTTCAGGGTATCAGGGGGATATACTGCTTGTAAACAGGGATATGATCGGGCCTTCAACTTTTAAGTGCAGTTTAGGGCGTCGGGGGCCCCAATCAAAAATCGTATCGTGGTGTATATCTGGGAGGCCTTGATCGTGGAAACTCCCGTTTGACGCAGGCAGGTAATCGTCAGATTGTGACCTGGGTTATATTTTCGGTATTCCACGTGGTGCCATAAATCCTGAATCGCAGGCCCTACATAACCCTACACCCTACCCCCGTCTAGGTATCACAAGTGATGCAAATTCTCGTCCATCAACACCATCCGAGTCCTGAACCTTCCTACAACAGGCCCGATGTGCATTGGGTCAAAGGCTGCGGGGTAGGATTTTAGGGTGTAGGGGCCGAAAAACCCTCAACCCTAAACCCTAAAACCCTATAAACCCTAAAACCCGACGCCACAAACCCTGAAACCCTAAACTCAAGCCCCAAACCGTGCAACCGTAGGAGTGCTTGCCGAAGCCTGAGGCCCTTCCTCCAGATCCGAAGCAGGTTTTAGGGTTCAGGGTTAGGGTTTCGGGTTCAAGGTTTAGGGTTCAGGGTCCAGGGTTTAGGTTGGTTGGTTGGTTGGTTGGTTTGTTCAAAGACACATCTGTGTCAGCCCAGGGCAAGGGCAGGAAGAGAAACACACTCAGGGGTGCTTGCGCCGACAGGTGCCCTAAGCCCTCAGAAAGCCAAAACGACTACCGCAGCAGCGCCTAATGCCTCTGGGGGCCCCCTATCTCAAGCACCCGAGTTTTCACGCTTCTGCTGGATATCCATGCTTGTGCCAAAACAGTCGTGCCCCTTGGCAAATGGCCCCAGCAAAGGCCACGATGCCCGCGAACCGCGGGTCTCCCGGCAGCACAGCGAGATCCTCAAGACAACAGCACGGCCTTGTAGCATGAATGTGCTCACAATTGCTGACCACATGGGAGAGGATGCTGGTGTACCGTTTGTTGCAGAAAATGCAGCAGCGGATCGAAGCTCTAGATGGCTTGAAATTCAGGTGACCCAGCATAATGAAGCCACAACGCAGGAGCAGCAGGTCCCGGTGCCCCACTAGCGTGCCCCACCCCAGCTGCAGCCGGAAAGCATCCTGTAGCTGAGTAGACGGCGAAGACGCGAGGGATAGGTACCGGATCGGCAGCAGGTGTTTCGCTGCCTGCAAGTGGACCATATAGGGGTTTAGAGTGTAGGGTGTCAGGTCTGGGTTTTAGGGTTGAGGGCTCCTCACAATCGAGCAAATCCATACATCTTGAACCCAATGCGATAATTTGCTGGGGGAAGACACTGCCGGCTCCCATTCAGCTGCTTTTTCACAAGCGCTCGTGGCTGCAGCGCAGCTGATGATGTTGGGGTTCCTGGGCTTTTGCTTTGCAAGTTTAGGGTTAGATTCAAGGTCTGTGAAACATTTGTAAGTTTCCCTAAATTACTGTTCCCAAAATGGAGAAATTTATATAGGGCCCCGTATTATAATAGGCACCTAAATATAGGACCCCGTATTGACAGTAATTTAGGACAATCCCCATTTGTCGTTAAACAATAAATCCTTGATGATGCAGGGTTGGAGGGTTATGGGGGTCAGGCTTCAGATGGTTTGTTTTGCATCATGAGACCTTATTGAAAGCCTTAATATTGGCGCTCAGACCCCCCAAAAAAATCTGCGAGGAGGAGCAGTGCACATAAAGAGTAAAAGGCGGGGTTCGGTGTACAGGCCCTGATCATTTGAGTCTTTAGCTTTCAGAGGCCCTTGGTGATTCGATGTCAGTTCGGGGAGCGCGCATCTCCTTGTACATGCAAATCAGCTAACGGAGCCCAAGCCCTATAGGAATACAAGTCCCCACGCCCAACGGTGCCCAGCTTGCCTTTCTTACCTGGGGTTAGTCGGTTCGTCGGGAATCTAAAACGTGGAGATTATATGCGCTCCAGCAAATATTTCCGCAGATAATTTCATGGACATGGGTTCCTTATTACTGATGATATTAAGTACTGAACTACAAAAAGGCCCCCCTATGTCCATTGCCGGGGGTCTCTTGCTCAGGCCAAGGTTCAGATGGGGTCCATTCCCAACCCTAAACTCTAAACCCTACGCCCTAAAATCCATACCTTGCAATTATGTAGCCTTAAGGGTGTTTATATAGGGATTCTATATGGATTATGTTCCCTTATTCCCTCCTAAGAACCTGTAAGATTTTAGTATATCGAAGAAGAGGCAACCGCAGTGGAATCACAGGATAAAGAGAACGGCCCAAGTACTTAGCGTTTAGGGTTTAGGGTACTTAGGATTGGGGGTTCCCCAAAAGTAGGGGTACGTTTTTGGGGGTCCTCAGAATACGTATTATAATGCATTAGGGCCCCCTATTTTGAGAAACTACCAAATATGGCGGAGATATCTTGAGGCTTGTTGCGAACTCTGTACAGAACCCTGAACACCCTCAATCCTGAATCTGATGTGTAATATGAGACCCTTGGGAGCCTCAATAAGAAGGCCTGAGTGAGATCTTAGGGCGTCTTTCCTTTATGGGGTTTAGGGTCTGGGGTTTAGGGTTTAGGGTGTAGGGCCTAAACCCTGCCCTAGACCCTAAGCCCTAAACCCTAAGCCCCAAACCCTAACATTAACTGCAGTTTAGAGTCCGCGCGTAGGAGCCATTGCCTAAACTCCTGATATCCCCCTTAATAACCTTTATAGGAGTTAAGGAATTTAGACTATAGCTCATATGGGGCCCCCCAAACCCTAAACCCTAAACCCCCTGAAAACTTCCTGAATAAGTAGACGGCTGGGAAGCCCAGAGCCCTGTAACCGAGGGTTTGGAGGAAGCTATAACTTGGGTTAGACGTAAGTGCTCACGAGGATTGGGGGTTTAGGGTTTAGGCTTGCGGGTTTAGGATTTAGGGTTTAGGGTCGAGGGTTTAGTGTTTACAGGTCAGGGCTTCCGTGGGAGAACTCAACCATTGTTCCAAGCCAAGGTATGCAGAATACCCCCTGCAACTGGCCATGAACCACTGAGTAATCATCGTAGTGCAGCTTAGCCAAGGCACAAGGTACAGCACCTGGCGTGCTCCTGCCAGTCATAGAGATTTCTTAGGTGGACCCCCCCACCCAGTACTGGTGACTAGTAAGGATCA